CCCCCCGCCACCCCTGGGCGCGGCGCGGCCGCTTCTCCCCCGGCCCCGCGCCGTCTCCGCTTCCCGCGCGGGTGCAAACACCGCACCTGCTGCCGAGGCTGCTGCTGTTCTACGTTCCAAGTCTGCGCGGAAGCGAATTCAGCTGCGCTTCCAAATCGAGGATGGAGACATCCTCCGAAGTCCGCTGGAGCCCCACCCCCACTCGCGGGCGGGAGCGGCTGCCCCCAGAGCCACGGGGAGCCGGGCCCGCCAGACCCCTGCTCACCGGGGGAGTCGAACCAGCGAAACGACAAACGGCCCGTTCTCGATGGATTTCTTGCGCGCTCGCCTGCGTTGCTTGTTTCCTGATACTGCATCCATGGACTGAGGGCCAAAGAGGGAACATGCTTCAGTTTCTGGGTGTGAAATGGGGATACAGCCATTCACTGCTGCAAAATAGTCTGCTAGAAATGCCTAAACAATTACTGAAAAAGGAGGTTACGTGGAATTTAAAAAAACTGAAAGAAAAGGCATTTCATTCAATTGCAGATGAACATTCTAAAGCAAAAAATAAATGAAACCAAAAAACCTCTCTCAGAAGCTTCCTTTACCTCTGGACTTAATAAAAGTGATCTTGAAATCAGAGTTATCTCAATACTTACTGGAGAGCGAATTCCCGACCAGACGGGCACGCATTTCCCAGCCTTCCAGTCTTCTTTGCCTCTTCTCCAGATGCTCACGAGTTCTCACTGGCAGTAAGAGTCTATTTATTTCTAATAAGATGTATCTCATTGGATTTGGGCATGGCAAGTAGCGGTATTTTTAAAAACTGGACTTAATTAACATACAGGGTTTTATCCACTCATGTTAGTGTTATGTTAAGCAGCTGGGCAGCATCATTCATGGTTTGAACTACATCTGAAATTTATTTTGCTACCAAATAGTGCATTGCTTTATGCACAAATTCATAACTAAAAATGCAACCTGTGGGTCTTGGTCATTATGGTTCACAAATTTATTCTAGAAGTTTTTCTAAACCATCACTACTCAATGCAGCTAACAAAGCGAGTCTTCAGAAGGTGCTTGCATTTACCAAACAGGATTGTGTCTCTGATTTGCTTTAAATTGAAAGTAAACAGTCAATAGCTGAATGGAGTTTGAACACAACATCTGTGTTGTTAAAAGTCTGATTGACTACTTGTTCTGAACATTAGGTTTGAGTTCTAAGCAAAGCCTTAAACAGAAGACAGCTGGGTTACACCCCCCTCCCATCCTTCCAGATACAAAGCACTCTTCCTGTGCCGTCAGCGTTGCGCGAACGCACGCGCACACGCACGCACGCACGCACTTTATATCCCAACACAGATTTCAGAAAAGTACCTGCAGTCCCTGCTGTTCCTCTCTGCAACTTTGATCCTGGATTTTGGTTTCTGTGCTTCAATTGGTGAAGAACAAGTTAGATTGCCATAAACCCCCAAAACATTTAGGAAAGTCTCACATCTGCAGTTAGCATTTCTGAAACCTAGTTTTGCTGCAGCCTCTGCTAAACCATGGAGGGGCTTTGTTCCTCTCAGACCCTGCGCCAGCCCTCGCTCTTAGCTGTGAAGACACTTATCCTCCTCTTCAGTTAATGAGTTTCACCTAGTCTGGCCGCTTGTGTTTTTATAAAAGATCTGCAAAGCACTAATTGCTAAAGAAGAAAAAAGCTCTTGTTTTGCATTCATCAGAATGTGGAATTCTATAGTGAAAACATTTCCTATTTCAATGTTTCAAAACTCAAATTTATCCTAATTTCAGGATGTGCACACGTACACTCAGCACGTTCCTGGGTGCAGAATGTTAAGCCCTCCAGCAGTTTCTTCTGGCTTGGGTCCTTTACTATTTAAAAGAATGCTGAAAGGAAAAAGTTGTGCCTACACCAAATACACGTCCAGAAAATATTGCATAAAGAAGGCTGTTTCTTTTTAATGATCTTTTTGATAGAGAGTTCACTTAGTCTCAGTGGTTTTTGTTCCAGAAATTAATTATCAAGGAAAAAGCTGTCCGTGCAGACCTTTTTCTTCAAATATGTTACTTGGAGCCTCTAGTCCATAAGCCTTTTTTTTTTTTAAGTAGTGGGCTATACAGAAAAAAATTACAAGCCATGTGAACTTCTGGAATACGTTTTCTCAAAGTAAAATTTCAGAATTCTGGTACCACTAGGAGGGAATCAAATCGATATAAACAAGCATTTTGAAGTTTGGCACAGCAGTAATTGTCACGCTAGCTTGGTTAACATTTTGAAAGTCAATTCCATTAATATGCAAAAACCCAAGTTGGAGGAATTTTCTGTGGGTGTATTGCATCATTTTCACATTACTGTTTCTGCAAGAATTATTTCTAAGATGTTTTAAAAGTCAGTTCTCATTTTATAAAACTGCATTCACAGTCCCTTGATAAAGGCTTACCCCCTTGCCCTTGTGGTTTTTTTCCCTTCGTGAAAGGAACTGGACTTTATTGTTGTTATTTACTATACAACATGCATTTTGAGAACGCGCAACTTCTAAAACACCTTCTTAAGAATGCACTTAAGAAAACACCCAAACAACAAAGTGAAATAAAATACTTCAAACTGTAATTCTAAAACTTTGAACGTATAAGAAGTCTAGGGTCTCTGGTAACTCTTTGGACCATTTACGAATCACACTGTATCCACATCATGTCTTGACTTTTCATCCATTTCACAAGCTCACGTTCTTCAGCTTTAATTTTTTAAACTGAGCTCTGTTGTCACTTCATGCCAAATAGTGTGAACCAAAACAAAGCTGTACAACTTAGTGAAAAAGAAATGACCACTTGACTTTTACCAAAAAAAAGCATTTAAGGTTCTTTTAAGTTATATTTAAATATCCTTTGAAACATAGGAAATATAAATTGGCATATTAAAGAGTAAATATATTATTTGTACAAGAAAACAACAAAATCGGTGTGCAACCCCTTTTAAGTTCTAAATATGAGGAAATTATAAATACTTATTCTTTACATACTGATTACAATTCAGTAACACCTTATTCTCTTCCTTCTTTAGGTATGCTTTGAAATGTAGATTAATTGATGTCTATTTTAGCAACTTTGCGTACCGGTCCTAGTGTTTTACCAAGGTGTTCACATTCAGACAAGCAAACGCTTTAGAAAGAGCACATAACATGCCT